TGATAAGAAAATCTAGATTGGGTCTTTGCTGATGTTGGTGTGTCTGGTTTCTTACTGTTTTCGTTTATTTCTTTTTTGTATTTTTATTTCCATTCGCTAATTTTCTCTCCTTGTTCTCTTTCCCTCCTTTTCTCCTTTCTTTCCCCTCCTTTAAATTATCGTCTGTCATTACCTGATCCTTTCCTCCTACTCCTCCATTTTCTCCTCCTGCTCTTCTTCATCATGCACTTCCCCTCTTTCTTGTCTCTCTCCTACTCCATCTCTACTCCTCCCTCCCTCTCCCTCCCTCCTTCTTTCCACCTTTTCCTCCCTCCCTCCCTCCCTCCCTTCCTTCCTCTCTCCCTCCCTCCCTTCCTTCCTCTCTCCTTCCCTCCCACTCTCCCCCTTCCACCCCCCTCCCTCCCTCCCTCCCTCCCTCCCTCCCTCCCTTCCTCCCTCTGCCCCGCAGAGCACCCGGCCATCCTGCGCATGAAAGCCCGGACGGTAAGGATGATGTTCGTTGTCGTGGTGTTGTTCGTGGCCTGTTGGACGCCCGTGCAGGTCGTCACCCTCGCCCGCAACGACTTCGTGCAGGAGAATGGCTCGCTCAAGGAGAACCTGGCGGAGGTAAGAGTGAGGGGAGGGGGTGATAGGGGGGAGATCGGGGGTTATGTGAGAGTGGGGGGGAGGTGAGAATGTGGGGGGAGTGAAGGAGGGAGGAAGGGAGGGCGGAAGTGGGCGATGGGGGTGAGGGAGTCAGTCTGGAAGGGAGGGTGGGAGTGGGTGAGGGAGTAAGGAGAGAGTTGACTATGAGGAAGTGAGGAAGGAAGGAGAGTTCTGGATACGAAGAGAGTGAAGTCTTAAAGTGCTAGCGGACATGTGACTTAGTAAGAGCGTGAGTAGGTGTAGGAACGTGAGGTATGGTAACTTTTAAAATAATAGATATCCGAATGAAGGATTGTTATTCTCTTTCATCAAATCTGTTCTTTTAAGGTCCTTTTCTGTTCTTTATTATCCTGCGAAAGCTGAAATTATTTTAATTTCTTTCTTGTAACTCAATTAGTTTTCTTGCACCATTTCATACAAAGGGATTCAAAACTTCAAGGAGGAACTTATAGTAAAAATAAAGTTTTGAAGATCGAAAAGAAAATAAAAAACCTTTCTTTTTCCATCGCATGATAACTTTCCTCCTGATTCCATGGTAACTAAGATCAAAGGGTCGAAAAAGGAAGTCTCTGAAATTATCTTCATCGTATTTTTTGGTGGAAACATTTAAAGAGAAAGAGTGGCTTAAATGACGTCACACAGACTATATAGAGAGTTTACATACTAGACTATATAAAAATATCTTCAACACATTCATAAAACGCCTTTATCACTCAAAACGAATGCTAAAGAAGTTTATTGTTCAGTCTCTGGACTATATAAAGATATAGAGACTGAACAATAAACTTCTTTAGCATTCGTTTTGAGTGATAAAGACGTTTTACGAATGTGTTGAAGTAACGCATAATGATGTATTACTTGTGGTAAGAAAGATAAGTGCGTTTAATAAATGTATGTATAAATGTATACAATATTCAAGGTTATGAATATTGCTCTGTAAGAAATTATTACAATTTAATACACTAATCCAAAATGTTTCAATTCAATATTTGATATGAAAGATGATAAACACTGGGATCTCCGATTTCTTAAATCAACCCAGTCTGGTTCAACTACAGAGACGTATTTTATAAACGAGTAGTTATATACAGCACCTTTAAGAAGATTATCTATATCAGCCGTTGGTCTATATCAGCTATGTCCTAAATTTATAATACCGAATCTTAAACCTCTTTGGGGCTCCCGTTGAGAATATAGAAATCTAACTTATATGCACGCGGGGCAAAGCCATCGTGACAGTGATATACTGAAATGTGGCGGGTGACTTCCGTAGATTTTAAACCGACATGGTCGCGACAGGAACAAGCTGAAGAGAAAGTGCAAAAATTTTCTTTTTCTTCTGCATCTCTTCTTTTTTTCTTCTTCCTCTTCTTTCTTTACTTTCTTCTTCTTTATCTTTCTCCCTTTCTTTTTTCTCTTCTTCTTTTTCTCTTGTTTTTTTATTTTCTTCTTTCTCGGTCAGATGAAGGGCTGTAAGGTTATTACTGAAACAACAGTTGTGATTTCCTATGGAATTAACTTAATCTAACCAGAATCAGTGGCTCGTTTATTATACTTGACGCAACCAGGGAAATCAAATGACCTAATTCAAGCCGCTTCACTAGGTCAATCAAAAACTAAAAATCTAAGTTTATAGCAAGATAATAAAAACATAAACTTTTTTTTCAGTAAAACATTTAAATCAAAAACTAATCGTTCAGCATTATAATAAAAAACAGTAAGATAATGAAATAAGAATTAATCATTCAACAAGAAAAGACAAAAAAAAAATTTTTAGCAAGACAATAGTTGAGTCAAGTTTTGACTCTCAAACGGACATTTATTATTCACTTGGAGGAGAAAATGTGGCTAAGTT